GAGATCATGACCTGAACCAAAGTCAGACCCTCAACTGACTGAGCCACACAGTGCCCCAAGAAGTGTATTTAATATTTTGCATGTGATATCAATTTTATATGATTTATCAGTAAATATAATAGCTTTTTCATTGGAATTACTTTGCTTCAAATGCTATAATATGTGCCTTTATCTCTATATCTTGTTCTTTTTCCCTATTTTATTTAGTTTTATAGATTTAATAATTTTTAAAACTTATTTTAGAGATAGAACGCACAAGTGGGGAGAGGGGGAGAGGGAGAGAAAGAATCTCAGTGCAGAGCCCAATGTGGGGCTCTATCCCACCACCTTGGGATTATGACCTGGGCAGAAATCAAGAGTTTGAGGTTCAACCGACTGAGCCACCCAGGTGCCCCGATAGATTTAATCATTTTTATCATGCATTCAATTACTCTGCCAGCTTTAATAAACCAAATTTTAATATAAAGCTAAACAAAATAGTGAAAGCTATAAGACTATTGTAATTCAAACCTGAATCTCTAAAAAAATAAGTCCATTTTCCAAGTTTTTAATTATTCCTATTTCAAGTTTTTCTGGTAGTGAATAAACAACACTTAAATTTTCCAAGCCACATTTGTTCTAGTGATACCAGCTGCCCATAGAAATGCAAATACTTTTAATTTTCATTATGTGAATTCCTAGTAAGTCACTCAATTCTAATATTCATCTAACATATGATAAGTATAAACCTCAGCAAGAAATAAATTTAATGATTTGTGTTATTTACATCTTCTAGCGCCTTATCCAGAAATAATTAAATGTGATAATGTAGTGCCAAGTTGAAACATCCAGAAACTTTTATCAAAATCTGTCTTAAATTCCACACTCTTTCTTTCGTATTATATTATACAACTACGGAAAAATTTATCATAAGATTTTCATGCAGATATTCCTCATTTAATTTTTTTGATGACCAACAAAAAAGCTGATGGATTATTTTAGAGAATATTCCTTCTAGTTTCATGATTAATGAAAATTATAAAATTGTCCTCAGCCTTGAATTTTATGTTTAAGTTAATTATCAATCCCTTTTTTGTAAAACAATTGAAAAATTATCCAGGAAAATCGAAATTCTACTACCTTATGTAGATTTTTCCAAAAAAGTGACAAAGTTCCAAAAATGTTTCCAGAAATGATTATATCTTTCCCTAAATGCAGAGCCATAAATCTAGGTTATGAGAATATATATAATATACATATATTATATATATTAGTATTATTTTATGAAATAATGCTAATTAATATTTTACATCTAGAAATGCTTGAATATTTCTAATATAAATTAAAGTTCTGATGATTGTTTCTAAATTTTTTTTGCTTCATTGATATTCTTTCAAAAAATATTTTTGGAAGTTCATATTAGTTCAAATCACTTATTATATAATAGTGATTGATGTGATATTATGTAAACTGTACTGATGACTGATTGATCATTTTCCCTCGATGATGCTTGCAAATTTTCTTTATTTGAACCATGAGCTTTAAGGGAACGTGATTAACATTCTGATGAAATACATGCGCTTAGTCCTTTCAACTTTATTGACAGAAAATTTAGCATTTTTTCAATACTAAAGCAATGATAAGCTACTTATAAATTTTGTTAATATAATCAAGTTGTTTTTCATTCAATAAATACAAATGATTTATTTTGTATTAATTCTTGCATGCTATCAAAATGCATTCCAGACATTTCCGATTTTTGTCCAGCATCAGAAGATAGTCCAGGAAGCAGTTTATTATTTTATTTCATAAAATCTTTGTGCTCCCACAGATTCTAAAGATTCATATTTGTAACACAGGCCTCTGCTGCTATACAAACTCTCACTATCCCAATAGATTCCTATAGTAAGAGATACATGTATTTCACTGCAATAATGCTTAATTAAAGAGCAATGACAAAATGCTGATTCTTAAATGCTGATTCTTCTAAAACACAGAACATGTTTTAGATAATGCATATACTATGACACAGATACCCACAGTAGGTACAACTGGAAATGTTTTGGAGAGGACTAGTTTATCAATAGATACTGTGACATCAATAGATACTATGACATATCCTATAGCAACTAAGTTAATGAATTTATTATAGTTTGATTTTATCAATGGACTCACTAATTTACCACTTTCTGTATCTGTGTATTTTTTTCCATGTAACTTTGTAATGCCACCCTACCCTGCCTCTGGGCTCCAAGTGATTTGCTTGGGCCAATGTGGTATTAGTAAGTGTGATGCAAATAGAGACTTGAAAGCATGTGTGTGGCTATCTTGCTCCTCTGTCTTTACCATGAGAACATACCTGAGCTGACCTCCTGGAAGATGACACCTGTGTGGAACAGAGCTGAGGCACTCTATCCAGGCGAGGGCCATCATGAGAGATAGGAGGAAGGCCAGCAAGATCAGAAAGACTCCTAGCTGACATGGAGCTGACAGCAGCTATCTGAACAAATCCAGCAGAGATCATCTGAGCTCAGATGAAATCATTTGAATCCTGCAAAAATCATAAGTTAAAAATTTTTATTGTTGTATGCTACTAAGATAGCAGATGGCCATAGAAAGCAGGTATAAGTTTTATATACAAATTTCTTTTTATTAATTAATTTTACTACTTATAGCCATTACTATTATGGTCTTTAGCAATCACGGAGAAAGCATTTTGAGTCTTAAAAAACTAGTATAGCTATTCTAGAATGAATTGGCTAAACATCAGCCCAACTAATGAGTCTTAGAATGTAGTGCTGTTTGAATGGGTTTTCTGTAATCTACAGCCAAAAACAACGTGAGTGATGCTATCTGTGCTTTCATTATGGGAACAACGAGAAAGCATTGAGTGATGGCAACACTTCAGTCTCACCAGTAAAATGGCCGATACTTTGCCTACATTTTCCACACATCTACTTGGTCTGGAAGCAAATTTTCTAATTTGAATATTAGTATCCTGCCTTCTTGCTTCCTATTGTGAGTCAAGATGATCACATGACTTCTAACAACCTAGAACATGCATAATCACTGAGATCAACATCCAATGAAGTCATATGAGGCCATTGGAAACTTCAATACAACCAACGTACCTTTTATAAATTTGATAATTACAGAACTAAAAATATTGGAAAGAGACAATTATACCTTAAAAGACTTTCAAAAGCTATTATCTGGCAAATGAAATCAACATCTGTGCTGTATCTTTACACCTTTTGAGAGCAAATAAACCTGACAAATATTATCTAAATTCTAGAAAAAGAATCTGAGAAAAAGTTTACTCTGACACATGATTTGTTTCAATAAAATGACATCTAAAAAAGTAATGATATCATCAGAGTGAGGGGGGAAAAGCTTTTAAAATGCTGCACCTAAAAATTAAAACAAAACACCAGTTATCTTTTATCAAGTCAGAGAATATTTACAGTAGTGATGACCTCAGCTGGAGAGGGTAGCAAATTGTTAACAATGGTTTGGGAACAACTTATCAATGTGAATCACAAGGCTTAAAAACGTTCATTCTTTCTGGCCAAATAGATTGTAGACGTGAGTTTTGCTGTGAAATAGCACCTCAAAACTTACTTATGTAAAGGGACAGCCATTTACTATTCTTGTCGTTGGGTAGTGGTGGTCATTCTGGACTCATTCATACATCTGCTTCAGCTACCATGCAGGGAGGCAGCCCTGCTTTGGCAGCTGACTGACATTTGGTTGGAGCAATGGGAGCAAATGGGCTCTGTGCCTCTCATTGATCAGCAGCTGGTGTGATAGCAGCTAGGATTCGAAGAATGAACAGAAGCTATAAGGCTTCTGGAGGCTTAGGCTCGGAAGTGGCACGATTGTCACTTCTGCTATATTTTATTGGTCAAAACAAGCCACGAGTTCTGAAACAAGTAGTAGGGGAACACATGTTCTCTCTTGATGAGTGAAGCTGAAAAAATGACATCACAAAGGGGCACAGGTGCACGAGGTGTGGCGACCCACGTCCAATTCTGCAAACTACTATCTATATTTTGACAATATTTTCTGTGGAATTATCCTAAATATGAAGGCTGGCAGTGCCCAATGCACAAAGATAATTATACAGTAAAACTGGGGGAAATGACATTTCCAATTCTTTGCAAAAATGATCACAGAAGTTATGAAAAGTTTACCTGCAGATGTTAAAAATATGAAAAAGAAATACTTGTGTTATATAGTTGAAAAACAAAATAGAAATGCATCAATGTAATAAGATTACAGTTAAATCAAACACCTTGAAAGGAAATATATCAAAATGTACCTAGTAAAAGTGTTTGAGGAAGAAGACTATGGGTTTTTTCAACTGGCTTATTTTCCGAAGTTCATATTTCTCTCTAGTGAATATGTTTAGCCTCCAGGATGTCGGACATAAAGTGATTAAATGATAAAATCTCCTCATCTTATTCTCTTAGAAGATATTTTAAAGATGATACATGGAAGGTAACATCACACTTCAGAGTCGGGAGAGATGTCTTTTATTTCTTTCCAAGTAGGAAGTGACCAAGACCACCTGGAACACCAAACCTATCATGATACTAGAGCAACCAGAGAGAACACAGGTATGGACATAGTGCACTATGGGGAGAAAGGCAGAATACTTCAGTAGAGAAGTCCACAATTTCCATTTCACACACAAGCAAAACCTCATAGATGTTAGCTGGGAGAGACTGGCTACATCAAGCTCTACTTCGAGGAAGTACGTTAGCAAAGATTACGAAAATTCTGTCATCAGTAACGGGCGTCTTGAAGCCAAAGCACTTATTCAGCCCAGATCAAATTACACAAATTAGTAGTAGAGAAAAGATCAGAAGGACAGAAAAGTAAGGCTTTAGCTATTCCAGTTAGGAGTTATAAAGGTATGTAGTGAGAGTGATATAAAAATTACATATGCTTAATAGCTTCTCAAATACAATTATATATAAATAGTATATAGAGCCCATAATCACAGTCATAGTCAACAAAGTAGGAACTTTTGAAGACGTAAAAAGTGGGGAATAGTAGAGTTGCAGCTTTGCTGTTTTGTGCCCGTTACAATGCATAGTTGGACCCTGAGCAACTGTTTTGTTTTTTCTTCCCTGGTCTACCTGTTCTGAGCATGTTTAGGATGATGGAGAAAATGATCTTCTGACATCCCTTCTACTGTTAAACTTCTATGATTTGAAAACTGAGGATTGAATATTGGTTTATTAAGCACTGGGTCCTATTGGGACAGCTCAGTCATTCCTTGATTTGTTTAAATTAAGTTTAGGATATGGAAAGGTAAGCACCTCTTCCTACAGAACTATGCCTCATTCTGAAGAGAGTTGTCTTGTGCTTTTAGGTTGTTCTAGAAACAGTTGACTACAAACATTAGGCTGTAGACTATGGTGAAATAATCATTATGTTATCTTTGTGGCCAGTCCTCCATCTTGGTTTCCCCGTTAGTCCCTGGTCCAGAAACCAACAGCTCCTATTTCTCAGCTGGACATGTATATTTTATACATAGCATTGATCTTGATGCCCTGCAATGCCAGACAACTATAGTTGTTGTGACAAACTAATCTGTGCTAACCCATGGCCTGTTCAACAATGTGACTTAAGTCAAGAACGTTCGCATCAGACTGATGTTTGTGGCAATTTGTTATGGCAGTGATAGAAACTAACACACATAATACAAAACCATAATGTGGTTCTCTATTTCTACCTACACTTTTCTCTTTAAAATGGACTTGACCAAATTTTTAAATAGCATAGAGTAATAGATTCCCCTGTGGCACTGTATTAGAAAAGTTGTTTGTATTTTATTGCCCTGAATGTATTCTATTTATGGGAAAAACCACTTAAGGAGGAGTGACAGGAAAATAATAAAAGTCTTTAGAATTCAGAGATACACACAACAAACTAAAAATCTTCAGAGGAAATAAAAATAGCTAAGAGCAACCGGACTTAAAATATACATTGTGATGGACAAAGGAGATATATAAAATGAAAAAATAAAACAAGCAAACAAGAGAAAGAACACTGTTTCCATTTCTACTTGATGTTTTGATTATATCCAGTCTTACAATGATTCATGTTTTATCAGATAGACCTTTAGAGACAGACATATTTTATCAGATAGATGGAGCATCTTCAGCTGTTGAACTTTTTTTTAAGGTTTTTACATAGTTAAATTGATAAATTATACTATTTCTAAATGAAAATCTGGCCAATTCATTTTTATGCCAGCTGAAATAAACAAGATTGAAATATTGACCTTTTCTCACTGTAGCGATTTTAGCAATTGTTTTATGTTCCAAGGAGGAATTTTTTTGTTTGCTATGAAATGTTTACTTTAGAAGAACACTAATCATCTCAAGTTTATCAATTATGTAAAGAACAAGATAAGGAATGAGAAAAAGCATCTGAAAATTAATTTCATAACTTTTCATAATCACTTCATCCAGCTAGCTATAGAGGACTTATGTGACAGAAAAGAAAAATCATATTTTGATGATACAAAAGAAATAGAACAAAGGCATTTGCAAATAGTTTAAATTCTATTTCTGACCTTTCCCACAAAATACATAATTCAAATCCCTACACACTTAAGACTGCAACGATTTTTCTAATCCAACACATTTTTTTCTAGATTCTGCTTGCAGACCATATCTTAAGTCAGTAAATTAGATTCTCAAATAGGCTCTGAAGTCAGTAGAAGCAAAACTGAAATGCTAGATTACATTTCGTCTTTTAAACATATGGTGCCTTCTTTCTTTTAATAAAAAAACCTTAAAAATATCAATTCTTAGATAATATGACCACAGTAAATTATCAAAATATCATATGATTCAAGTTACCCAGTTTATACCTCCTATCTATTTCATAGATCACAGCACAAGTAAATTTTCTTTGTCATTTAATCAATTCAAAACGAAAAGTATATTTTGCCCCACCTATTGGTAAGCCAGATATGATGGCAATCTTTCATTTAAAAAACTCCCATGTGTTTTAACAGTTGAACATAGTTCATAGGGAATTAATATAATACTGTTAAAGTGGAAATTTTAATTGGCAGTCTTCATTAGAATGGTGAAAAGTTGTATCTCATTTAATCCTCTACACAAACCAGATCTTCTTTTATGTGTTTATATCATGCACAGATGCTGGAAAGAATATGTGAAAAAGGAGGATAAGAACAAAAGTGAGAAGAGGGGTCTGACCACTGAAAATCTTTGATGCCATACAAAATGAATGTGAGTTTAATTCTGAAGGCATTGTGAAACCACCGAAAGATTTTAAGTAGAGGTATAGCATGACATATTTATATTCTAGTAAACACATTCTGGAAGCAATAACATGATAGAAGAGAGAAAATGATCCTCAAATCAGGGAAAAGAGTTATGAGAGATATGAGGAAGTTCTCTACTATGATAATAGTAAAGAGACTTGACAAATGATTACTGATTCAGGCCGGGAGCTAAAACAGAGAAGTAGAGAATTACCCACTCTTTCTCCTTGGGTGGCTAGTTGGAAATGCTCACTGACATAAGGAATACTAAAATCAGAAGTCAGAAGTAGTGTCAGGGGCAAGGGGTGGAGACAAAGAGTTTGATCTGGGAAGGCAAGATTGCATATGCCTGTAAGTAGCCAGCAGGAAACATCCTATAAGTTGGCACTTAGTAAACAGGTTGAGGATGAAAACATAGATTTCATGATTACAGCTGATTGTTGATCCCATGAGAAAGAATGATGTTGGTTAGGATGTTTGTATAATTAAGAACATGCCCAGAAACAACAGCCTGGATGATACAAATACTTGGGGAGTGGGCACAAAAAGAGAATCCAACGGAGGAATCAGAGAAGAAATAGTTCACTAAGAAGGAAGAAGGAATGATCAAGAAGAGTGGTCAACACTGTCAAATACAAAGAGGTCAGATATGATAAGGACTTAACAGAATTCATTAATTTCACTCTTCATGTTTTAAAGAAATCTTCTGAGATATTAAGTATCTTGCCAACTCTTCAGGCACAGATATTTTTATTCCTGTTTCAAAGAATAGTAGACAACATTTTAGCCCAATGTGAAGTCAATTTTGATGAACCATTATGCTCTTTGTTCCAGCTCTGTATTCCAGCTTTCTGAAAATCTTTAAGTAGAAACAGAGATCCTGGACATCCTTTTTAGTATGTATACATAAAATATAAACAAATACAAATAAATATATCTGTTCGTATATAAACAAGATATCCACCTTCTGCTCACTAGGTATTCACAGACTAATATTCACAGACATATGCATTATGGTCTTGCTTTCCTAATAAGAGATGCTGACCCAAGTGCCAGTGATGAGTGAAAGCTAGAGGACAACAGTGGTGAAACACTCCATGGGCCTACATAGCTCTTGAAGGAAATGAAAGTGATCAGTCTAATATTTGGAATTAGAAGAAACCCAGCAGTAGGGGGCAGTAAAAGAGGATGTAGAGAAGGTCACCAAGGCCATGCTAGTCAAAGGAGAGAGGAACAGAAATGCCAAGCAGATAAATCACGGAGCCCAGATTTAACAGCCCAGGCTGGCTGAAGGAGCCAGCATGCCTGTTCTATTCCTGAGAAGATTCCATTTGCAGGCTGTAAGGACTCATAAGAATCTCCCTTGTACTTTTAGGTAGCTTGAATGAATCTTTTCCCTGCAACTAATCTATCTAGATAGACAAAAACTATCATGAAAGTTGACAGGCAGGGAAGAGAATTTTCAGCTCTGGAAAGATAAATAAATGCACAAAGGAACAAAAAGAATAGAGCAAAGCTGTTTGGAGAAAGTAATATTTGAACTAAGCCTTAAATATGTTGGGCTGTCTGGCAAGTTGGTTTTCCAGTATGTCTTTCAGATGGGACAGTTTGAGAGTCTTGAGATCAGGCCCATGATCTCCAATGAAGAGTATATTGCATTTATGAACTCGATAAATATTTCCACATTGCATAAAGAATAGGGAAACATGAGAAATTGTCACAAAAAAGTTCACTTTAGTACAGCTAAATATAAAAATAGGTGGTTTGGTTATAAAGACAATTTGAGAAACCATGAACAAAGATGTCTCTCCCTATTCCTTCAGTCCTGGAATTAATAGACCATTTTCACATAAGAAATGCCCCAATATCTATCTGAATGTTGTAACCAACAGTTTATTCTACTGAAGACAAAAAGAATAAAAATGGTCCCCAAACCTTTTTTTAAAATGTTTATTTATTTTTTGAGAGAGAGAAAGAGAGAGAGAGCAGGGAGGGGCAGAGAGAGAGGGAGAGAAAGAGTCCCAAGCAGGCTCCACACTGTCAGTGCAGAGCCTGACAAGGGGCGCCATCTCATAAACTATGAGATCATGACCTGAGCCAAAGTCAAGCATCAGATGCTTAACCGAGTCACCCGAAGTCCCAAGTCCCCAAAGCTTTTTATACATGTATTTTATGAATGTTGTATCTTCCACCTCAGATTTTAAAATAAACCAAACAAGTAAAAACACCCTTAGTCCCACCAAGCCAATTTAATGTTTGTTAAATTCCATGTTGCTTGTAAGCTTATATGCAACTACTAGAAATATTTCGAAAGCTAAGCAAAATAACCCTGTAAACAAGAGGACTTAGAATGGAAATCTTTAAAGTTCCCGATCACTAATAGGGTTACTATTGAGGGCAATCAGAATATCTCACAAAGGATTCTAAATATATTGTGTCACATTCAATAAGCAAAAGTATTTTATTCTTCCACATGATTCCTTAGCAAACAATCTCATCCCCAAATATCATGGCACAGGGGAAAAGTGGTGTTGGTTTAATTTAGATTTGATTTATGTGCTATATCATCAGGAACAGATAAACCTGCATAATAAACAGCATATGTTGGCCTTAACCAAGCATGTGGATTCTGTTATATGAAAAGCAAATGTTCAAGAAACAAAATTAATATTAATGTGTTTTGCAAAATCAAAGTCAGGAGCTACTTTTGGAGGAGCTGAATAATCACAGACCCTACTGTAGGCTAAATCCCACTTATTTCACATGTTAAAAGAGAGCTGGTGGTCTTCAGTACTGAAGCCCATGGGTCTAATAACCAAAACTAAGGTTTTTATTCTTCACGTAGAAAGTTGCTCCATGAGAAAGATAAGTTTTATAAAAACTGCAATTGCAGCCATTGACAACAAAAATGGCATTATGCAGACGATGACCACCACTGTTGCAAAATTCTTGCAGGCCATTGTCACAGTAACTCTGTGTTCCAGTTGCTCTACTTCATTTTGGAATGTTCAACTGCAAAGATCATAATGGGCAATAATAATAAGCCAGGAAAGAGATTCCCTTTAAGGACAAGGGACGGAGTAATCGTGTTCAGTGTTACCCAAATCTTGGCTACTGGAGACACATTTGTGATCACTTAAAACTTCTACAAATTAAAAATGAATGTTTAGGGGCGCCTGGGTGGCTCAGTCGGTTAAGCGTCCGACTTCAGCTCAGGTCATGATCTCGCAGTCCGTGAGTTCAAGCCCCTCGTCGGGCTCTGTGCTGACAGCTCAGAGCCTGGAGCCTGTTTCAGATTCTGTGTCTCCCTCTCTCTCTGCCCCTCCCCCATTCATGCTCTGTCTCTCTCTGTCCCAAAAATAAATAAACAAAAAAAAAATTTTTAAAAAATGAATGTTTAAAAATTTTAATGTTGCTACCCCAAGAGACTAGTTTTCCTGAAATCCCATATTCTCATCTCACTTTTGATCTCTGGAATCACATTTATTCATATAGATCATATGCACTCTTTTCCATATCCACTGCTTCTCTTCTTGGGTATTTCTGTATCTCACTCTGTCCACTATGACAAACAACAGTTGTCAAGGCTCCATTATCTCCACAGATGGTACATGGAAGTGGTGTGTTTTGTTTTGTTTTGTTTTTTTACTTTTTATAAAGCAACTCCTCCTACAGTGGGCTGACAGCCAACCTGATTAGAACCAAGTGTTCCATTGTCAATATTTCTCCAAAATAGTCAGAAATAAATTTGTCCCCTTAATATTAATGTGTACTCATATCCTAAAAAAATAAAAAATCAGAGTGTAGCGCCTTGGAGTTCCATCATTTTATCTGACAGAGAAAATTTCAAACATATCCTGTGGCTTTCCTGGTTATTAAACCACCCAAATAAATCCCATATCTCTGTGATTCAAAGTTTGTGTCTCTGACCTCACGTAAGCATGAAGAGTAGAAGAGAAGCAAGCTGAGAAACTCCTGAAAGCCTCCCATGTTTATTTACAAAAGTAAAAAAAGAGGACACTAGTCTAAAAGGCATTTGTTTGTAATAATTTCATAATACCGAACAACTCTTTTAAGATGTGGTTTGCTCAAGATTTACAAACTCTGAAACACTGTCTGCTGTTGAGGTCCTATGTCAAAACTCCAGGTATTGATGATGTCATTCATTTCTTAAAATAAGCTATTATTTCTCAAATATAAAAAATATGCATTCTACAGAGTAATTCATAGGAATAAAGCATGAATGAAAGATAGCCTGTGATCCTTTACCCAGATAGAGCCATTGTTAATGTTTTCATTTATACAGTTTTATAATATGTATTTGTGCATGAGTGTGTGCATGTGTGTGTTACAAAAACAGGATCATACAGTTGCATAAACAGCATTTTGTACTCATCAACGAATGTATTGTGGGACTCTCTTGCCTCTACTAAATGTATGTGTATGTCACTTTTACTATTTTTTTAATTTTTTAAAATGTTTATTTCTGAGAAACAGAGAGAAACAGAGTATGAGTGGGGGAGGGGCAGAGAGAGAGGGAGACACAGAATCTGAAGAAGACTGCATGTTCCGAGCTGTCAGCACAGAGCCTGACATGGGGTTCGAACCCACGAACTATGAGATCATGACCTGAGCTGAAGTTGGAGGCTTAACCGACTGAGCCACCCAGGCGCCCCTGTATATATCACTTTTAAAAACTACACACTATTCCATGATATACCTATTGTATAATTTTTAAATTGGCAATTAGGATGTTTCAATTTTTCCCTGTTGAAGACAAAGTTGTGCTGATGGTAGTCAAAAATACAGCTTGGTACACAAATCTCATTACTTCTTTAGCATACATTTTAAAAAATAATCTTTTTTTAGTTTTAAGTTTATTTATTTATTGTAGAGAGAGAGAGACAAAGCAAGTGAGTGGGGGAGGGGAAGACAGAGAAAGAGAGAGAATCCCAAGCAGTCTCTGCACTGTCAGCATGAAGCCCGAAGCGGGGCTCAAACTCACGAACCAGGAGATGATGACTTGAGCCGAAACCAATAGACGCTTAACCAACTGAGCCACACAGGTGCCCCAGCATACATTTTTAGAAGTGAAATTGCTGAGTCAAAGAATAAGCACATTTAAAAAATCTGAACCATGTTGTCCAACTGTCTTCCAACCAACAAAAGATGGTTCTGCCCACTTGTCCTGTCTCCTACTCATTTCTCATTGAGAAAACAAGCCATTCATTGCATGCTTCCTATGTCCTGGGGTGTGTACTCCGTACAAGATAAGGAGACATGGAGGGACTAAATAGTTTCCAGCCAACTCCTCCTAGAGCTCATGGTTTAGTAATAGGACACACACGTAATTTCAATACAGTGTTATAAATGACAAAGTTTTAGCAATGTGTACACAGTTGATTGAGGAAGATGAATAATATTCCCTAAACATTCACTGAACATGCTCTAAAATGTGTTACCTCATTTTTTACCACAAACATCATAAGAGATGGGCCTTTATTATCTTCATTCTACATAGGAAAAATCTAAAACCCAGAGAATTTAAATAACTTTCACTGGCATGGCTGCTCTAGTCTCAGTTCTGCAACTCTCCAGCATTGTGATCCTGGACAAGTTAACTTCTCTAAACCTCAGTTCCTTCATGGGTAACTTGAGGATAACACAAACTTCCAGATTTATAGCAAGGACTGAATTAAATGTGAATTCTTACAAAGCATTTAGCTTAGTGCTTAATATACAGTAAGTACTCAATAAATGCTAGTTCCGTAACGCCTCCACTGACTTTACTAATATCCCTGTCACAAACGGGGAAGAAAGACTACTCTGCTCATGATCTATTTCATAATCAGAAATATTTTTTCAAAGTTCAACCTAAATACTCTCAATGGCCTTC